CTAGACCTTCACAGAGACCTCATTGTTGCACCTGCCTTTGGCCCTGCCTCTGACATTACCTGCAAGGTCTTGGCCACATTTCTTTTTCTTTCTTTTTTTTTTTTTGAAGATTTATTTATACAAGCACTGGGTACAGTCAGAAACATGGGAGGGTGAGAGAATTCACCAGAGTCAGAGCAGGGAGCAGAGCAGGCAGAAGGACCAAAGCACACTGCTGAGGGGAGCAGCGGGTGGCAGGAGAGGTCTGCGCGCCATGTGGGACCCTCCTCCGGTGTCCGGGGAGCAGCCGGGGATCGAACCGGCGCTGCAGAGGCTGCGGGCAGCTTTGCAACCCAGCACTCAACTGCTGCGCCACCAGGGAGGCCGATCTTGGCCACATTTCTTAAAGAGTTGGTGGCTACTAGTTCACAACAATAGCTTACAAAGGATTCTAACAGTGTGTCTCTCATACCAGTCCTGGTGACTGGTGCTATCAGTACTATTGATTGGTAATAGACATTCTCTCTAGCCACCTGTCGGAGCTGTCTACCACCTCTGGTTCTCCAGCATTGCCTCCTGGTGCTGTTGAGTCAATCATGGTCAGGTCTGGCTTCTGGTACTGTCTAGCTGCACTTCATACTGTTGCTATGAGCTGCTGTATCAACTCAGTAGCCCCATCTGTAAGCACATCCAGCTGCCACCATGAGCTGTACCCTGGTGTATTGCTGGCTGATGTGTCACCAGTTCTAGGCCCTTCTTGAGGGGATAACATTGCCTGACATGAGTGGCCTTTGTTTGGGACTGCTGGACACTTGTGGTTACTCTCTGGATGAGATAGTTATCCACTGTGGCCTTAGAAACTTTTTCCTTTTCCCAATCTCCTGCTTGTTAAATGAACCCCATTGATGTTAGACCCTGGGCCTGGGTGTTGTCTTGCAATTAAGCACATGGGTGAGAACCCATAGACAGTAGCCCGTTCCCCCCCCCTCACTTTGGCACTGCCCTTTGACACTGTTCTAGATAGTTTTGAATACTCTTTGTGCACTATTTTATAAAGAGTATTACTATCCTTATGTGGAAAACTTATATTTTCTTAAGACATTATCCCTTTATTAAAAAATGTCATGAAGCAAGGATGTAGAAAAAACATAAGTATACTAGCTCACCTGGGAGTGTGTGGCATAAATGGGACAGGGTTGAAATCCTGATGAATGGTGCCAGGTTGTCTCTAAACTGACAGTGGTCCTGAGGAACTAAAATGTAGAAATAGGGAATCAAATCCAGTTTTTACTTAATTATATTTTAATACACCAAGTTTATATTTAAGCTATATTAAAAACTAAGGCAAAAATGAGTTACATTGGGACTTCCCTGGTGGCATAGGGGGTTGAGCACAGCACTTTGAAAATGTCCACAGCCTCTGCAGTAAAAGTTCCATCCTCAGCCAGGGAGCTGCCCACATGGCCATGGCGCAGCAGACCTCTCCTGTCTAGCCTGCTGCTCCCCTCAGCAATGTATTTCAGTCAGTCTGCCTGTTCTGCTCCCCACTTTGTCTCTGGTGAATCCTCTCACCCGCCCCCCCACACACACACCTCTGGCCTACACCACAGTTCTCGTATGCATAAATAAATAAATCTTTAAAAACAGAATGAGTTACATTGCAAAATATGAACTCCAGCCACTGGTGTAAGATACTGTTTTTAAAACTCTACTGAGGGCAGAAGGAAAGGTAGAAAATAGTATGATAAAGGTAGGGGAAGAGAAACCTCTGTCCCACCCCACTCCTGAAATTGGAGTTGGCCCACTGATGGTATGCTTATACCAAATGCAACTCTCTGTGTCTGGGACAGAGCTGACTAAAGGGGAGTTGGTGTGAGACTTGGAAGGTGAAAGTGAAGCAGAAACCATTATTCTTTTTAGGTTAAGCCCTCAGACCTGTTGATGGGCAGATGCAGGGGTGCCCGGCAGGAGCCAGTTTGTCCTCGCCCTTCTCCACTCTCAGTCTAGCTCATCTTCATGACTGATGATTCTGCTGACAAATAGTGGTCTCAGCTGCCGGCCGCAGGTAATTGGTTTCAGACCCTCGAAGGCCATAGTTACCCAGCAGGAACTGTTTCCCCGGAGGCCGCCATTTCCGTAGACTCTTCATCTTCCTCTTGCTGGTTCCAGTGGCCAGATGTATTTGGCTTCTTGGATTTCCCTGGAAGCTCCAAACAGTGTTTCTGGCAGAGTGGTTACGAGCTATTTTTCTGTGGTTCTCTAACACCTCCCTCCCAGGTCTTTATAGAGGCTTTGTTCTCCTGACTGAATTTTGGCTGAAAGAGGGCCTAAAACTAAAACAGAAGAATAAACATAAAATGGATTAAGATTAACATCTACAAAAGTGACCTGCTGTGGGAGATGATTTGTTAATTTGTTGCACAGTGGGCCCAAGTTAGTTGGCCTTTAGTTTCTATAACCAATTATTTTGTTCTGAAATAACACAGTGATGTGACTTTTAGTGGTGAACTGAATTTAGATAATACACATGTTGATTTTCAGTGATGTACAACTGAACTAACATGTTATAATGCAGTATTAATTCAGTGCAGTTTTTAAAGAAACTCCTAAGACAAAATAAAATAAAACCAACATGTACTATTTCTTGTACCTCCAGCATTATATACCCATTCTTTCCAATTATTTTAATAACCACTCAGTGGAAGTATCACAAATTTACAGATGATAAGAATCAAGACTACAATGGTAAAGGTACTTGCTTAATGTTGAAACATCTAGAAAGTGCTGGAGACTGATCTCTCTGATTCCATTCTGCCTTCCAGTAGTTCGGTAACACTTGCTTTCCAATAGTTCACATGTACTACTGGCAACTCTGGTGGGGAGGGTACAAGCTAGGAAAGATGGAATTAAAAGAATTTCATTTTATTTTATTTTATTTTATTTTATTTATTTCTAAAGCTTTATTTGTAGGTTTTACAATATTTTCCATATAGTCAATAATGTCATCTGCAAGTAAAAAGTTATATATCTTTATTTTCAATTTATATGATTTTTAAAAATTGTCTTATTTCAGTGGTAAGAACCTCCAGCATTAGGCTGAATAATAGTGGTGCAGGTAGACAACCTTCCCTTAGAGTAAATCTTAGGGTAAAAACATTCAGGATTTCATTAGAGTACAATTATTTTGTAGATGTTCTTTATCAAGTTGAGGAAGTTCTCCTTTTATTCTTAGTTGCTTTTTATAATGAATGATACTGTAGTTTCTCATATACATTTTTTTCTGGTTTAATTGACCATATATTTTTTCTTTAGCTTGTAATATTGTTGGTTATATTATGTTATCATAGAATGTTGAACTAAATTTGTGCCTTTGGGTTAAATTCAACTTGGTCAAGTTGTAATTTTTTGTTGTTTTTTTTTAATTAATTTTATAAATTTTTTGCATCATTTTTCATTTTTGCACAATGTATGCATGTCCCACCCCCCTCCTTATTTTGATCCTATTCCCTCCCCCCCCCCATATTGTGTGTCTGGTTTATAGTTGCTTGTTGATTTTGATTTTTACTTTATTATAATTAGTTTTTTTCCTGATCCCTTATTTAGGTTTCCTAAAGAATTTCAGTTTTCTCATTATTAGAAACTGCAGATTATATTTTGCTTTGAGCTTCTCTACTTAAGCCTTCCAGTTTTCTGCAGTATTACATTCTTATTTAAGGGGTAGTATTTTAAGTTAAAGTTACTGATGCAATAATCAAAGTCTCACCTCAACCAATATTTGTATAAGAAATCTTAATCTAGACAGTATTGTGATTGAAACAGATTCTCAACAAAAATCATTAACTGGTCTTTTTTTTTTTTTGCCTGTGTTGCAGATCCCTTATACCCACCAATTCCCTTTGATTCAGTGGCCACCAAGCAGATTTCTCTTCAAAAATTTACTTTCTCAGATTTGGACACTTGTTCACTAGAAGGCGATTGTCCTTTATAGCTGTTTTATATATTCACTCATTCACAGGAAAAAGCCACAGTAATAAAAGAAACTGCTATTTACAAATTCATAGTGACTTAAAATCACTGTTTTTTTCTTTCTTATAAAACATAACAAAGTTGAGTTGTGTATGGGGCCAGTATGGAGGAGGGATAGAAAAAGAATGTAGAGAAAATTATTTTCTAATCACCCATCAAAGGAAATAGAAAATTACTACATTGTACTACTAGGCAAATTTTTGAATTTTTGAAAATGAAGCTAACTTAGCTGTTTCTTTTTTTTAAATCTTCAAAAATAATGGAGTGGAGGTGAACAAAAGAAATGAGTTAGATTCAAGTCAAAACAGTCACAAATCAGTAACAGATTAATGGCATGTCCATTGCTGACGGCAACATACAGCCCTAGATGATGTGGGGAAGATAGACACATCCTGATTCTTAATCACATTCTAAATTCAGTCTCCAGAGATAAATCTTTAATGACATCCATTCACTTCCATCTCCACCTGAAAACTGGTAATCTTCAATGCCAGGGGTCTATTTAAAAGACAAAGGAGATTAGAGTGATTTGCTCTTTGTTTTCAATTTATTTTTTAAATGCCTTTGGGCTTATTTGACTACACCTGTAAACTCATTTATACCATCTAAGCACTATAAAAATACTGAAGAACTGCTTGCCAGTTCCAGAAATGGGGTGGGGGGGGTGCATTTCTGTCGATCACATCAGACTTCATTTTTAAACAGATTCATTTAGATAAACATTTCAGTAATGGAATTTTAAACTAGGAAAACTGCATAGTCAAGGCGTTTTTTTCAAGTGAGGTTATTAGTCTCTGTTAGGGTTTGCTTAGTGACCGAATCAGCCCTGAAGGAAAGTTAGGATACAAATGTCTATGTGAGATTTGCATGCAATGATCACATGCCTCTTTAGCTTATCATGCAAGTGCCAAGTTTATAAAGGGAACTGTTGTCTTCTCTTCTCAATGGCTCACGTATCTCATGGATATTTATTGACATTTCATGTAAGCACAATATATATGAGAATTTACTGGTATAAAGGAATATCAGGAGGATAAAAACAGGAAGGCTCCCTAAAATTGTAAGACACATTTTTAAATAGAAATCTGCATTGTGAGTGATATTGAGATGCTAGCTGACAGTAGTATTATAAATCCTGGTTGGCTGTAGAAATATATTGAGTAGAACGCAAGTTGACATCTGGAACCCATCCTGCTCCCCCACTGACAGCCTTTTTCTTCTCCAGAAGACCTTTCCTTTTCTCTACTGCCATATCTCCAGCTCCTTTTTTGCTTGCTTTCCTTTTCTTCCTCAGCACTAACGAGGATTCTCTGGTTGGGATCTGAAGAAGCTATTCCCCTCAGGGTTATATATATCATACTAAAGGATCCTGAAAAATAAAACAGATAAGTCAAAATGAGATTGCCCAATATGAATGTGATGTTAGGCACTATCATGAGTAATGGAGTAATGATGTTAGGCACTATCATGAGTAATGAAGAATTTGTGTTTTATTAACCACCATTACTACTCATTGCATAAACAGAGAACTATGAAAGAACAGAATTTATTGGACTAAAAATTCAAAAGTAGTGACGAAACTGATATTTTTAAATGTGTAAATCCCACAGGGTAGGTATTTTTGTCAATTTTTTTCTTCTGATATATTCCAAGTCCCTAGAACAGTTCTTGGAATACAGCAGGCCCTGGAGTCAATGTTTGACATATGACTAGATAGATAGGTAAACTTTTAATTTTTATTTTTTTGTCCATAAAACCTTATACCAAGAAAAGAAGCCCTTTAAACTTCAAAACATTCTGTCTTTCAGAATTTATGATGTGATAAGGATTATATGATAATGTCTCATGGAATAACAATATGAAAATAGGTGTTGACATCAAGACTTCATCCTGGGGTCAGCGAATAAAATCATAGACTCTATACCTAATACCTCCATACATAGTATCAAATGGTATCTTTGAATTCTATTCTCAGTCCTACATCCAAGACCCATACCTCTTTCCACAGAGCCCTAATTCTAATGGCATTAGGTAGTTTCGGTAAGACTAGTTAATACATTCCAAGGAATTGAGATGGGTTGAACTATATTATAAAGTCATCATCCTTTAATTCATCCAAATGTTAGACAAGTTGTTGACAAGGCACAAACTCTAGACCTGCTATGAATGTCGTAATTAGAAATTGGACATTTTTTCACACGTGATACTATATTTAAAAACAAATGATGGACACACAAAGCAATGGATTCTGCAATACAGTCATCATTGAAGAAACCAAAAACCAAGTATAAGCTGTAATAAATATTCATGTTTAGGAAAATAAATGCAAATAATGCCTTATTTTTCAGAAGAAAAGAGAGGAAGGAAAGAGAAAGAAGGAAAATCATGGGATGAAGATATGCATATGTATTCAATAATTATTCTTTCATGATCACTTACTCTTCAAAAGATTTCTATTTATAATATGAGCTTTTATCTTTTACCAACATTTAATATATCTGAAGTATCCCTTCACTGTTTCTAGGCCAAAGAATCTTCATCTTTCAGTCCAGCATCTATATTTTTCTACAATTCTAGACCTAGAACTGATGTGTGCCTTTCCCCTGAACTTTAAGTGAGGGACTCCTTCATTTGCTTTGGTGTATTTTCTTAAACCTTAATCCAAAAAACCTGCTAAATATACAGTCAAGTATGCGGTGGCTTCCTAATAAATGATAAAACAAATTCAACCTTACTGGACCTGGAAGCTGGTCAAAATCAGTGACCACAGGTACAAATCAGTTGCTGTAAAACAGAGAAAGACAGTTGTTAAGAAGAATGGAAAGATACTTCAAGGAGCCTTCAGAAGCCGGGGAGGAATTGGGAGTCAATGTAAAATCAAACTCAGTATTTAGATATGACCCTAGCTCCCTAAGCATACTAATTTATTGCTCTCATGAACTTTCTTCCTTATTATTGGATAAATAAATGTGCAAGAAACAAAAAGCAATCTCAAGGAACTCTTTCTATTGGAGGATGAATGTGCTTTATATAATGTGGAATCCCAATGGAATACCTGCAACAACTCTAGTATCAGTTCATTGCAGGTAATGATAAATCACCATCTGCATAAAAGGTATGAGGAAACTAGAGCGAAATGTTGTGAAGGAAAAGCAGATGCTGTTGCCAGAAGAGCAATAGCTTTATCATTTGGGAAAAAAAAATTCAATAATGGGATCCACTTATTCAATTAAATATTTATTCATTGAATAATGTTTGAACTCCCACAATATGCCAAGTATGGGGGCTGTTGCTGAAGAATATGGTGAACATGGTGCCTTAAGGAACATGAATCTCAGTTAGATTCATGATGAAAAGGGCATTTGGGTTTTTTGTATGTGGGGATTTGAGGATATATTTCATATATAGATATATAAAGAGTCAGGTTGCCTTAAATGAAGGAAATGAAGGATGTTTGGTGGATAATCTTCTACTGTTGGCAGAACTATGGCCCAGTAACAGCTTTGAGGTTTGGGTACACTATGAAGAAGCTTCCATTTGAATATGTGGTCTGTTTTTAAAAGCTGTCATATTTTACAAGATGTTTTTTTATAAACTTGAAATCCACTTCTACTCCTTTGAGACAGCCTATCTTAGACTCTTGGGAATATATTATTCTGGCATATGGTTTAATGCTTATTCCAGATACTTAGTTAATGTCTTCTGTGTAGACTAACCAGTTGTTATATGTCTATAAAAATTCATCCACCCTTTTGCTTTAGGACAGCAGTCTACATTATTTAACAGAATACTTTATTACCCACCCTAAAGTATTTGATTTTGTATCCCTACTTTAAAATCTGGTGCTACCCCAAGGTCTGTAAGTTTTTGTGCACCTACTTGAATATTCTCAGAAATGATCCCTTCAGCAATATTATGTGCCCAAATAAGTTTTTCCTATCATCCCAAAACACCATAAACAAGTTTATTTTGTTAGTTTCAGAATAGCTCTATTGACCCCCAACCAGTTATTTATGGCTCCTAAACACTGAAGTATATTCTCAAAGGGTCATAATTTATAATCACAATTTTGAAATGTATCAATGTGACAACTCACTTCATCAGTACTGGTAACCTGGAGTGCTGTGCTAAGAAGGCTATTAAATGCAGGTAAACGAGCTCTATTCTTGATAAGGGAAGTCTCTCCTGGGCCTACATTAAGAAGCGGTTGGCAATATTACTGACCCATAGCCCAGCTCTGCTTCTTGCTGACTCTGTGAACTTTGGTTATTCACTTCACATCTCAAAAAAATACTTTATTTCTGAAATGAGGATGCAAACTAAATCAGTGACTTCTAAATATTGGCCATGGAGAGAGTAGGCTTCAGAATAACATAAAGACCAGAATTGAAACAAAGATTATTTTGGCTTGCACAGAATTTCTTAAGGACCAGAAGACTTTCGTTTTTAGCAAAGACATTGAATACTATTGCACATATTATGTTCCATCATTTTTGACAACCACTGGGTAGATGAACTGTGAAGTATTTTCCAGCCTTAATTTATTTTCCCAATGGAGTCTCGAAAGAATAGCAAAAACATAATTGAGTTTATTTTTATTTATTTTTTATTGAGGTAGCATTGGTTTTACAATGCTCCATGTTGATTTAGAGGATTAATTGAGTTTAGTAGGTGGTCATATGAAATACTTCCATTTGGAAGTTCCAATGGAATTCCAAAGAAGACAGCAAAAACTGCAAATAGAAGCACAAAGACAGAGACCAATGTTCTGTATGGTCCTTTGTAAAGGGAAATTCAGCAGGATTGTCCTGTACTTCCTTCCTGTCTGTCCCAGTTCACCTCTTCTGTGGGCATTTTCACCTCTCAGTGGCAGAATAGGCCACTGACATATTGATGATTGTTAAAAACAAACACATATTTTACATTTAAGGCCAAAAAGGAGCAAAGAACTGAAAACTATTATCCTTTGGCACTTTTATTCACACAGAAGAAATGACACATGAAGGGAACACTGGGTAAGATGCCAAAATTTACCTTGATTACCTCACTTTTAAGATTTAGCAGTGAGACAAAAAATAAATATTTTTTTTTATTTTGATAAGATTTAGTGGACAGGAATAATGAGGGTATGAAAAATGCTGAGGGGCAAAAAAAAAGAAAAATGCTGAAGGGAGCAGTTCTATCCCATTTAATAATGGCAGTAGGGATTCTGACAGAATCTCCATTAGCAATTTCTTTTTTAAGATAACTTAATTTCCTGATTACACATGCATTTCTAAATCATATTGACATTTTAAGAGAGAAACAAATAACAGTGCCAATTCTTATGGGCATGGGAAAAAAACTTTCCTTTTTCTTCCCTATCACTACCACATAGCATACCTCTTCCAATCTTAGGGTATTTAAAGAACCACATTGTTCAGGAACTAATGGAATCTAGACAGTGAAACTTGACCAAATAGTAAAACTTTTGGGTGGAAACTCATTTTGGATTGTGAAAGAATTTTCTGTCTAGACTAGGGTAGCTCACAGCTGTGTGAGGCAGAACACATGTTTGAATATCTATGTATATGTATGTATGTATGTATACATGTCTATATGCTTGGAGGCTGAGGAATAGCCAGGTATGAGAAAAACTTTTTTTTATTTTTTAACTAAACCAGGGCCTAACAAACTGTGCCCTCAAATCTGGCCCACTGCCTGTTTTTATAAATAAAGTTTTATTGGGACATAGCCATGAGCCTTCAATTACCTGGTGCCAGTGGCTGCTTTCATAATACAATGAAGAAGTAGAGTAGTTGTGACAGAGTGTGTAAAGCTGAAGTATTTTACTATCTAGTCATTTTCAGAAAACATTTGCCATAAATGGACTATACATTCCATAGTCTAGTTAGTGTCTTATGCAAAATAAGTGGAGTTTGGTGAATGCAATATCCTACAGACTAAAAAGTGCTAGACAAATAAAGCGGTGGGGGAGAGGTAGCAAAAGTCCCCCAGAAGACATATGAAGGAGCCTTGAACACAGAGTTTCCCAAAGCCCCTGGTTCTATTAAAGGTACTGAAAATCTGAAAAGTTCCTTCTCTGTTCATTAAAATGGGGAAAGATCAGTGAGTCTACTTTAAACAACTTTAAACAAAAAGCTTGAAATTATTTATAACTTTAACTGAACTTCTGTTCTTCTCCTACCCGCTAAGTTTGCTTCACAGGAAGGGGCTGCACAGTAAAATCTTGAGAGATTAGCAGCCATCAGCAAGTCAGGACTTTGTTTTTCATTTTCCAAGTCATCTTCTTTTAGACATGATGCCATAAAAAGCATCTGGGATATTCTCAATGAGAAAATTAAGTGAATTCACTTCAGAGGAGGGCTTAAAATCAAAAGCTTATTTTTTTCTTTTAAAAATTGATTTTTCCCCTCCCTCCCATTTTTCCTGTTTGGTTCAACTAGTATTACATTTTTATTAGAAAAATAAAATTTGATATCTACTTACATAGACTATATAATCTACTTATAAAGAATGAATTGTTGTTCTAATTAAAAAAACAAAAACAAAAAATAAATAAAGGCACATACTGTACTGAGGGTGGAATAGTACTTTAAAGTCCAGCCATGTGGCTTCTTATGGAACTGTAATGAGTTAAAGATGAAATTCCATTTCTAGTTTGCATACATCTTGCAAAGATTCTGCCCAGTAAAATGGTAATTGGAGTCTTTTTTACAATAAATATTACAATTTTTAATCCTAATATTGTAAGCTATGAAATGTCTTCCATTTCCCTAACATATGTTTTTTGTCCTGTTTCTCAGTCCAAGAGACAGAAAATAAAATAAACACCTTAATGAATGCAATACCAATCCTCCTGAGATCCTGTACCTATCTACGGACATAACATGGACCAGGGATTTTGAAGATTCTCCCTAAAGAGTAAAAACCTGCCTCACTTCACATCTCAGTGTGGTCTGCAGAAGTATTCACTCTGGTTTGTTGCTAACTTGCTGCAGGCCTCCAGTAAATTGCAATTTGCAATTATAAGTGTATTTGTGAAGTGTAAGTGGGTTAATTTTCCCCTTTGGAGCTGATAGTAAAGCATTCCAAGATGGCAGTGAAGTTAGGGTGGAGTTCTTTCAGACACTGGGAGGCTGATCATGAAAATGTGGCTCTCTGTTGGTCTTTTTTGTTAATTGCAAAAACATGAGGAGGAACTCCTGTTAAGAAATCATATTAGAAACAAAATATTTTGAATAATTCTCCCTAGTGATTACAGACATATCATCAAAAGGAGAAATGAGGCTTTGGAGGAAACGATTTTCAGGCATTGGGTGTTCAATTGGTTACTTGTCTCCAGCTTGACTGGTCAGTATGTGGATTTATCAGATGACCATTTATTTCTTTTGTCAATGCAAACATCCTGACTGTCATACATTCCAATGAGGGGGAAATTCTGCAGAGATCTGGATAAACTCATCACAGCTTCTGTACCATCTGACAACCTGATCGTCATGGGGGACCTCTATGCACGTGTTGGCAATGGTGCCAAAATGTAGGGAAAAAAAAAATATTGTACCACAGAGGATTAGTCTCGTCCTGCATGGTGAGCAGGCCAAACAAAAGCTTGTAATCACAGACAACAGCTTCAATCATAAAAGTTAGGAGAAAAATATCATTGATACATCACAAGTAAAAATAAACAATGCTATCACCCATTCTGCCATTGTTTCACAGCAGAATTCAAAGGAGTTAACAGTCTGAATGGGTCTAAGGAAATTACCCAGTATACTTCAAATTACAAGAGCATTAAGGTGGGTGTTAGGATGTGTGCATGAGATTGATATTTGAATAAACTCAACTCATAGACAATAAAGATACTAAGGAGAAATTTTCCAAGAATAATAGAGCAAATATCACAGAAGATTATGCCTGGCAAACTCAACACAAATCATTTGTGTCATTATTTGCCTAAAAATACACCAAACTTCAAACAGTCTTGCGGTATTTTCCCTACCATAACATTGCTTTTAGTGGTTTCCCAACTGTGAAAAAGTGTAATTCTGATTACACCCTGAATCCTCCACCTCCTTACCTACACTATATATATATATCTGCAGAAGTCTTGACAACTTCTAAAGCTCAGCTCAAGTGACACTCTTCACATTCACCTGAAATTATCTCTTTTTCTTCAGAATCCTGTAGCATATTTTTGGTAAATACCAGGAACTTAAAAATACTTATTTTTATTATAGATAATCATGTGTGTCTCTTAATAGACCTGGAAGATTTTTTTTTTTGCTTTGTTTAGTGCCCAAAACAATATACTTGTTTTTGTTTCCAAACAAAAAAAAATGTATTTTACATAGTAAATTCTCAATTAAAATTCTTGAATCAAACATCTGTTTGGATCCAAAGTGATTTGGACAGCCTGTTGTGCTTTCCAGATTCCCCAAGGACTATCTTTTCTGATATCAATTTGATTACGTACCTTTTAGATATTTAGAACATTGGTGGCCAAAGTTTGCATGTAGAAGAATTTGAGGAGTTCAGCTCCACAAGGAAATTGTGGGTTATGGATGTCACCATGTTCAAAGCTGTAAAAATGAAGTTTGGCTCTTAAACCCATGAATGTTACACAATCTAAATGAAGTAGACATTACCTTCTAAAATACTATGAAAAACCCTTAACATTTCTGAAAAGAAACAATTATTCTTATGGTGTGAAATGAATTTTAGTGATGACTTTTTCTTGATTTGTTACTTCTTTTACTCCTTTTCCCAATGATCCTATTTCCCTGGAGTATAAAATATCTACCAATTAAAATGCAGGTGTTTAGTACTCTGAAATAGTAAAAAGTCAGGTATGGCCACCAATAGTTTCATAAAAGGGAGAAAATCAAATTCTAAAATAAATTTCTGACAGAATATGGTAGTAAATACAAGAAAAATGGTACTCTGTGAAAGGAAATAAGTTCTGTGAGAGCATAATATGGGTTCTTGTCTGAACTTAGAGTCTGAGTGATTATTAAACCCCTCTCAGATTTTTTCCTCACTGACAAGACTTTTCTTCCATGGACAGTGCTATGTAAATTCCTTTATGAAGACTATATAAAGTATTTTGATTTGACTGGACAAAAGTTTTATGTAAAACTGGGGCAAATTCATGAAATTGTGTTTGAACTAAGCTATCTGTGGGGCAGATCAAAGTTCGATGCTTAACAAAATGGAACTTACAAATCATTAAACCAGGTTCCCGCTTTTCTGCGTGCCTGTTTGGAGCAGTAAGAGAAGACTTGCTTTCTTTTTAATGTTTCATTTGAGATTTAGGGAGGATAACTTCCTCTCTCGCAAAAGTAGGCATGGATTGGATGGCTGCTAAAATAAACAGTACAAAATATGTAGCAAGGCTTGGCCATGCTTTTGCTGGTAGGTGCCAAGGTCACAAAGGATAGCTTTCACCCCTTAAGACTCTGGAGATATTGGTCTTATTAAACTCTGAATATTGTATTTTGCTCTGTGAGGTCAACACTCCTGAGGATCAGGCTAGGGGGAAAAAGGGCATCGCCACTTTTGAAAAACTCAAAAATCAAAAGACAAATTTTTCACTGCATTATTAAGATTTTTTTCCTTCTCAACTGAAAGATGCAAAGAATTGGTGCATGTGTGTTGTTCTCCAGAGAGAAGGGAGCAGGCATCTCTGGTGAGGCTCCATCCTCTAAGACCGCATCCCCGTACCACATCTTGCTCCTATTACTGCTCTCTTCAACTTATGCTGACAGCCAAAGTTCAGAGGTTGCTTTGTTTCCCTTGTAGTTGATGTTAGTTCAACATGAGACACTAAAGGTGGAGCAAGCACAGAAATTAATGCACAGGAATAGGAGAAGAACTTTGGCAGCCAACAATAACATATGTTTTACACTTGGGGGAAGTATAGAAATTAAAAATGGAAAAAGTGGGCAAAAGTGAGACAATTGACTAATATAAATACCTGTCAAACCTAACTTTCTCACAGAGATTGTGGGCTAAGAAACAAATAAAATTTTTCACCACCACCCCAGCTCACACCCTATATCTTTAAGAAAGCCTCGGAGTCCTTTTATGAGTTTTGGCTCAAGGACTCTGGCATGTGAATGGGAAGGAGTGAAGAACCAAGGTTTCCTTAACTATTTTATGCCAAAAACTTGTGTCTAAAAAGAACTGAGGAAACAGTATCTTCACGTATTTGGAAGCAACGGCAGGGAATTGATGAGAGCCTAGAAGGCAAGAGAACATTGCTCTTCAATTTTTGAAGGCCCACAATGGAATCTACTACTTGCATTTAATGGGCAAATTTAAGTCTACAGCAGTAAATGATGATAAGGTTATGGTTAGTTGAGGAGTTTGCCCTTGCTTAAGGATGAAATAATTATATGTGATAATCAGAGGTTTGATAAATCACAGTATACTTCTATATGTTAAAAATGGCCCCAAGAGCAATATCAGATTGGTTTATCTTTATCAGCATGCTTTGAAAAAAATTTTTTAAAGATTTATTTATTTATGCATATAAGAACTGGGGAATAGGCCAGAGGTGTGGAGTGGTGTGCTGAGAGGATTCACCAGAGACAGAGTGGGGAGCAGAGCAGGCAGGTCTATTGAAATACACTGCTGAGGGGCACAGCAGACAAGACAGGAGAGGTCTGCTGTGCCATGTGGGTCAGCTCCCTGGCTGGGGATGGAACTCATGCCACAGTGGCTGGTGATAGCCTCATAGCGTCAAGACTTTTAACCCCAGCACCACCAGGGAGGCTCATGCTTTGAAAGAATTTTGTAGTGAATTTTAGATGTTCTAAAGCCTGTTTGAACTGTACTTCATTTAGATTGTGTAACATTCATGGGTTTAAGAGCCAAACTTCATTTTTACTTAGTTATATACAATGTGTATTAGGTCTAGGACCACTGTTTTCCCTTAGATAAATAGGGGCCTCTTTTTTAAAGGAAGTGTTCTTATTAGGCTATGTGTGTGGGACAGAGAACTGCCCAGTAATGGATTCCAAAATAACAGATAACTGAACTTCTTTGCATCAAGGGGGAACAGGAGTGAAGATAAGCATTTTGAAGAAAAGAGTCTGCTGGAGAAAAGGGAGATGCCAAAGAATATGGCAATGACTGGACTCTGTTCAGGAGGAAAAAAAGGGGGCCCTTGAGAAAAATTAGAAAACCCATTTACCTGAAATATATAATGTTACATTTTAACTCTTAGTAGTAACTGGGCACCTATATGGCCCTACCACAAACCCCTATATGAATGCAGAGCTGACTGAAGAGTCAGTAGCAAGAACTGAGAAAAGCCTTAGAGTTCAACAGGTATAGGAAATAGAAATACTGTTTTTATATTCCTATTGCAGATATGGGAGTTTTAAATAAAGGTTATGCAAAGCTAAGGTGCCGGTTGACCTTAGTTGATACCTGGGTTATTTGAATTGGGATGCTTCTGTATTTCTTCCTTAAATATAATAGGAACCATCCAAAAGTCCCCAGTCATGACCTTTATGGAATTTATATTTAAGTAGCAAAAGAACACATCAAAACAAGTGGGGATAATATAATAATGAGAGGATTAATCCAAATCATCTTCACAAAATTGGTAATTAACCACAGTTTGGCACTAAGATAATAAACCAAGCTTTAGATATCTTTTATATATTCTGGATTATTCCCAAGAATATGCATCCCTAAATGTTTTCATGTTATTTTGAAATTCTTTTAAATGCCCCAAAATGTTAAAACTGTAAGACATAAATAAATAAAAGAAAATTATAATGTAAAATGTGTGAGCAATTCAGCAATGCCTCAGGAATATCTTTTTCTCTCTAAGGGATGAAAGATCCTGCAGTAATTGTACACATCACATAAGCTCATAAGATTTCCAAGATGTCGGTACATAGAACTTCCAGGCTTCCTTTTTGTTCCCTCTTTAAGAAACTTTCAAAGGAGTTCAAGGAAAAATGCATAATCCTGACAGCACCATCATGAGTAACTTCAGAGCCTGTAAGAACCATCCCTTATGAGAAACTTGGCAAGTTTAGTTTTATTTAAACAGTACAAAAGTCTGTAAATTAAGTCACATTCAAACAAGAAAAATGTATCAGAAATGTTTCTTGAAATTAATTTCTTATTTACTTTTAATTTATCCTTTCTCAAGTTAACTCATGTCCAACAGCTAAAAAGGAGGCAAAAACTGTCTTTAACTTAATACAAACCAGCATACCTTACATTATACAGAATATCATAGTTAAACAGATGGGATTATTATTTTCTTCCATTGTGCATGATAATTGAATTTGAGCTTGAATAGAAGCACCCAGTATTCTATTCTATTCTGGAATAGAAATTGTTTAAAAAATTATGACTGACTGCTGCAAAGATTGAAATTATTTTGAGGATAATATCCCTGGAAATTATTCCATATTTCAACCCTAGGAAGGACAATTTTCAACATGTCTCACCCATCTGAAATCCTTACCAGAAGATAAAGTCCAATTATTAGGAAATCTAATTGAGAACATGGTTATTTTTTAAAATATAGCCATATATCCCATCCTTATTTTATACTCAAATTTTTCACTTAAGCTTAATCTTTTACTTGATCTAATATTTATGTGTAGCAATACAGCAATAAAATCTTAAAGATATTTGTTTAACTTAGAAAATCAGAAAGTATCGACATGCAAAGTTTTAATGTTTTGTTTAATTGTGATATAATAATCTCATTTGATTCACTTATGTCCTTTTCAGACAATGTGATCCAGCATTATATAAATAAATAAATAAATAAACACACTCTGAAGGCACATTTTTCTCAAAATGATTATCACAATTACAATATGTATTTATATCATTAGGAATTGATTTGTTTAATGGCAATACTCCAACTGTAAGATCTCTGAAAACAGGCCATAAATTTATGTTGGATGAATGTATGATTGCTTCAATCAACATTTATTCTTAAAAGATAAGTCTCTAATGTTTTGATGTGCTCTTATGCTACTTAAATGGGCTTATTAGATATGTCTCTATTTATTAAGTTAATAGAACCTAAATATAATGAAAATAATTCAAATTCTAAACATGAAGTTAAAATCAATTTTATTTTATTGCAATATTGATAAGATTAAAAGGTCTTTGTTGTTTATTGATAATTTTTTTATTGATCAAAACTAAGGCATTCTTTCAGGTCACATGACTCATTGACTCATTTTTAAAAATATTCCTGACCCCACACCATTCTGAGTTCCACTGAGTAGCTAACATACATGAGATATTCCTCAGTTGTTAGCTATCAAATTACTTTAAATTATTTTCCTTGCCAAAACAAGATTTCTTAGTGTATACATTATAAAGTACTTTTCTTGTAAAACATGTAATTAATATTTAATTCCTAGAAATTATCATCAATTACAAAGCCAGTTTTTACATGGTATTTGTTTTGCTAAATACAGTAATGACTTCAAATTTAATTACTATACTTTTCTATCAAATTCTAAATAGTTACACAAATTACTTGTGAAGGTGTCATTTTTTTTTTTTTGCAACTGGCAAATCTGATTAGTAATGTAAAAAAAGAATTTGTTTTTACTTCTTTGAGTTTATATTCCAAATAAAGGGGGTTTCAAGAGACATAAAATCCATAGGGTTATAAAAATTTTAAGTATTTGTACAATGTGTTGGGGGTGGTGGGTAAGGGAGAGTAAAAGTGTGGACCTTTAGAATGAGCTCAAGATTGATATCCCCATGGGTTAAACGTATATAACCTTACAAATAAAGCTCATGTTAGCCTCAAAACAAAAATTTGTAGAAGAAGCACATAACAAAAAAGGAGGCCTCCCTGGTGGCACAAGAGGTTAAGATGCAACCTCTGAAACTATCCACAGACACAGCAGCACGAGTTCAATCCCCAGCCAGGGAGTTGACCCACATGGCTCAGCAGACCACTCCTGTCTTGCCTGCTGCTCCCCTGAGCGGTGTATTATAGCAGATCTGCCTGTTCTGCTTCCCATTCTGTCTCTGGTGAATCCTCTCACCCCCCACACCTCTGGCCTGTACCCCAGTTCTTGTATGCCTAAATAAGTAAATCTTTAAAAAAAGGAAGATGTCAAAACACATGAGAAGAGTAGAGGGAAACAAAATAAAGACAAAATACAAAACCAACCCAAAACAAATAATAAAATGCCAAAACATATCACATTTCAATTATTACCATAATATTGATGCTCTGTGCTCACTAATTAAAAAGTATGTAGAGTGGCTGAGCATATTAAAAAAAAAACAACTCTTTGTTGCCTATAGGATTCATATTTACTCAGATTAAAAGATTGGAAGATAATCCAATAACAAATGGTAATTTAAAAAGAGGACTAATGGAAAAGTAGGTGCAGTTCAAATGAAGTCTGAATTTTAGTTTTTAAAAAATGTGTAAGAAATCAAAGGGGGCCCTTCCCGGTGGCGCAGCGGTTGAGTGCTGGGTTGTGAAGCTGCCCGCAGCCTCTGCAGCGCCAGTTTGATCCCCGGCCGCCAGCAAGGGTCCCACATGGCACGCAGACCTCTCCTGCTGCCCACTGCTCCCCTCAGCAGTGTACTTCGTCAGTCTGCCTGTTCTGTTCCCTGCTCTGTCTCTGGTGAATTCCTCACCCTCCTGTGCTTCTGACTGTACCCAGTGCTTGTATAAATAAATAAATAAATCTTAAAAACAAACAAACAAACAAAAAAATCTTAAAAAAAAAAAAAAAAGAAATCAAAGGGATCAAAATTTCTTCGGGAGACCCAAAATCAAAAATTTAAAAAGAATTGACAACATGAAAAATTTTATAAGTCTGGAGCAGATGTGAGTTTTCATAAAAATTCTAACTTTTAATAGAGACACTCTGAAAATAGTTCAAATTTCTACTATGTTATAATATATAAATGATGGTAAAATGGGGGTGAAGTTGTCAAATGATATGTGTGGTGCAATGCTATTTATTTAAATTTAGAATGTACCTAAACAAGTCTATGTATTTTTTGTGAGTATACCCATATTTAAGAAAAATAACACACACATGGTACACATTTATTTCACAGTAGCAGTGAATTCTCACTAAGAAAAGAGAATACAATTAGGGAAAAGTATAAAAAGGGCTCCAATGTTATCTGTAACATTTGTCCACTTAGAAATAATATTTATGAAATGTGACAAATTGTTAAAAATTTGTTATGACTACATTATTCTGAATAATTACACTTTTTAAATTCTAAAATGAAAGAAAGAAAATAGATGGGAATTCAGGTAGGAGTGTAATAAGAAGAGGCGGGAGGGAAGTCTCCAGAAAAAGGTAGTGCTTACATGTCCAAGTGGTGGACTGGAATGACCAAACCAGTTGTCTGTTGGGTATTTGGTATTTGGCCCTCATCTGAATCTAGAACAGAAGTATGGGTGGTGGCAGCAAACCTAGTGAGAAAGAATTGTAGTTCATGAGCAACCAACACACTAAGGATTCGTACATAAAGACGCAAAACCAAATTCTAGCTGTTAAAAATGAGGTTCAAGATAAGGAACGAGACAGCAGAAAGTAGGAATTAATAAATTCCATTAGGTTTAGCCAAGGAGATATCTTGATAGTATTTTCCAAAGCAGATATCATTGTATGGTGTCCCTTTGGTCAAGTCACTCTTTCAGTGTCTTAGTTCTAGCATCTATCAAATGGAGATAAAATAATACATACTCTAAGCATGTTTCGGATTAGAAATGATTATGTGTAAGTCATTTAGAAAATGCCTGGTATCTTGTTAAGTTTTATTTAAGTGTCTATAAAGTAAAAAATAAACACCACTGTTTTTAATAGATCTAGTTTTCTTTAGCGATATTGATGTATTCCACTCAAATAGATTAATTATCTCATTTGGTAGGAACAAACATGATCATATGACAAACCTTGAGTTGACCTACACATCCTTCACTCTAAGAAGTGCAGATGGTTATTTCATTTTTGTGTATTGACAAACTTTGAAAAATGAAAAGTGTTTTTTTCTTATCTTTGATGGCAACTCTCATGGACCTACATGTTCCAGATAAGACATCTTATAAATAAGAATTGCAATAAAAGTAGTGAAAGTTTCAAAAGAGGCAAGTGTGAGTCATTGGCAATTTATCAAGATATGAGCACGTCAGGTTTTATATAAAAACAAAGGAAAAGGAGGGAGGAGCACAGGGGACTGTGGTGATGGGGCATGGGTGAATTGGTGGGGGAAATTCTATGGGTAGTACACCTGAGGGGGGGAGAGAAGCAAACATTGTTTAAAAATGAACAGTGATATAAAAGATATAAATAAACTTTAAAAATTAAAAACAAAGCAGCCGACTGATATAATAGGGCAACCTGGTTTTTTAAAAAATATTTTCCCTATGGAATAGTGTAAAAAACTTCTATCTGTAAAAATATTGTGAATGCTCTGTGATGTGTGATCTAACCAAAATACAAATACTATTTCTTTCTGAAATATAGGACAGTTCCTCCAACAACATTATTGAATAAAATTACATTAAAACAATTATCTCTCTTCCTTAAGTCCAACATAAATCTATATCAGTTCAGAGAATGTTTTGGTGCATTATCATTCCATAATTGAAGACTTCAGCATTTTTTCATATATTAAAATGCCTCCAGTCTTTAATGTACATGGAATGTCAGAAAACATGTAAAACCTATCTCCTGAGATATTCAAAGAATATTCAGACAGTTTCAAATGTTGTTGAATGATGATAGAGAGCGTGAATTCACTAATGTCATTGAAGGAAAAGTAATAATGCAGTATTAAAAGTATATTACTGCTTTCTGTCTTTTTGATCACAATATCATGTAATGTGGATGCATATGTCACTACTTGTCAGTCATAGTATTCACATCCAACACAGATCTATAACTGAGAGCATTGGGGAATGAGGATATTTGTTTCTGCTAAGTTGCACCAAGAAAAGTCAGCTTGGAGATTAATAAAATAGATGTGTTATTGGAATTGCAGAAAACATTTCTGTCTAAAATTTCAGGAAGCCACTTGCTTTGCTTGATATAGTACATTTACTTTTTACTATTATAATAATGAAGTGCTTAGCTATAGGTTAAATTACTAAATGTTTGCTCTCATCTTGCTGTTAGGGGAGAAAAAGAGAAATAAACCTTTGGTGCATAGTCCTGTTTTGATTATTTGCAATAATCAAATAACAATAGTACTTATTCAGTAAGTCATTCTGTTACTCATCACTTAATCTGTACTAATCATTGAATTGATTAACAGGTGACTCATCATCAAACCAACATTCACTTTAATCTGATTAACTTATGTTCCTTTCACCAAAAAACTGTGTCATTAATTTAATGCATACAACATCTTAAAATATGGGACATATAAAATATATATGATAGACCAAATATGCATCAGGTTGAAACATGAAATTGCCGTATATGTAAGTCGGGAACAGTCAAATATAAGCGACTTCAGTTGGTTCAATCTAGTATTTATGGATTTTAAACAGAAATTGTTGATTTTGCCCTACAAATATTTAAAATATGTAGTTTTGTATTTGAAATGAGAAATTTGAATGTTCATGGCAAAATGAAATGACATAAAGATACAATGGGGCAATCTGACTTGATCTTTCCAAAGAAAGCCCATCATCCAAATGAAAGTGAGGTTATGTAGTGCATCAAAACACTAGATTGTTCTCTCTCTTTTTTTTTTTTTCCACAATTGTCCTACCCCTGATGAAAAACTAATGTCAAATATATGGCTTTACAAACCAAGACATAAAGCATACTCAAAATTCAAGAACGTTACCCAGGAATACACAAAAGAAACTGATAAGTTCTTTTCTTTATGGTGACATGTATCTCTTTTTTCAGTAATGGAAATTTATTTCATTATAAAACATTTCATTCTGTTTCCATTGACTCTAACATTATACTCTATCCATTCCTTGCTTGGAAAATGTCACATGGCCTGAGATTAACCAGCCAGAGTCTTCCAATCCCAACTAGTAGGATCACATTATAGACGGGCATGGTATAGAAATTGAGTTATTTTAATATATAGACTCTGCTTGAAGAGAGTGTCTTCTTACATCTATTGTAAGATAGAAAGTTATAGGTACAATATTAATTTAAACCTGCTGGTGGTGAAATTTCCCATCCAGAAGCCCCTTTGCCTGAGAGTAAAGCCAACAAGAAAAAGAGAGAGCTCAGAAAGATATTCATTAATGTTGGGATGAGGTCTGATGAGTGAATAACAGAAAGCATTACTTAACACTATAGTCTTTCAAGTGAGCTAAGGGGTGGATGTATAGTAAAGGTGAGTTTATCAAGTTTCTCAGGCATTAAGCATTGGTCACTGGGGTGGGAAGGAAGGAAATAGAATCCTGAAGTGGACCGTGGACAATGATTCTAAGGAAATGACTGGGTGGGGATCAAAGATGAAGTTGACCTACTTTATGATTTTTCTCAGGTCATCCCTGGTTATGCAGCTGACATGCGTTTGCCTGAAAAATATTTATAATCTGAGTTGATGTGGTTTCGGCATGTTCCACAGGGAAGTAAGACACAGACAGAAAAGCCTGGTGTGTAGCTGTCAGGAATGGGCTGATCATTCTTCATCAAAGGCTTTGAGCTTAGTTTTACAGTTTCTATTTCTTACTGACTGAACTGGCCACAACTTATCAATACATTCAGTATGAAACTAACTTATAATTCAAATATGTGATGTTGATGGGGCTCCAATGGTTCATTCAATGACTATGTTCTTATAGTTAGTATCTGTGGTGGGAATATGAACACATAAACATTAGCCATTACACAAAGCATCTGAAATTACCAATTGAGACTGAGCATGGACACTAAATGGAAAAGATTTGATTTTGAAAACAGGTTTTCAAAATTATATTTCAAAATTAAACTGTCATTTTTCAATATAGAAGTCAGCATTATATGAATGTCCATGTTTGCACAATGGTTAAAAATATAATGTTGAGGCCAGGCTGACCTGTGTTCCAGTCTCAATTAGGGTGTTATCTTGGGCAAGTTTTTTCAACTTCTCTAAACCTATTTATTTGTCTGAAAAGTAAAACTAGTGGTACTAACCTTCTAGGTCAAGTTGAGAATCAAATGAGATAAGATAAAATCTTTGGCACTTGGAAAGATCTCAATGCATTGTGCATGACTTTTTCTATGGAATTAGAGAAACACAAAGAGGGTTCACAATATAACTTCTTGTCTTCATATAATCTCATGCATATGATATCTAATGCAGAAAGTTGTTTCAACACCTTTGGAGATCAAGTGCCATGACCTGAGAATTTCCCTGAAATCAAGTTCTCCCATATGTCAACCAACATTCTTACTGAACTCTAAATATTCTTTCAAGTCTTTTCTTCTGGGGAAAAGAGAGAAAGAAACTAGTTATCTTCAATCAGGTATATTTAAATATGGTTATCATTTTCTTTCCTTCTCTCTCTAAGATAAGACAACCATGACTTTAAAAAATGCCCTGAAGCTGACATTTCTCTTTTGTTTTGCCATTGTTTTTACAAAGCCTGTGTTCATGAACCAAATTGTGACGATGCTCTTCTGTCCAATAAAATCCTGGACAGTTTGCCTCCAACTTACTGAATTCAGGGAATATATTCGAGTAGAATCTCTACTGTTTATGTTATTACAATAGAAGTAGAAAATATGTTCTTTTACACCCATTTCTTTTATTGAAAAGAAGCAGTTTTCACAAAACCATAAACTGATAAACTCTAATCAAGGATGAAGTGTTATGTCGCAGGGAAGAATATTTCGGTGTTAAAGAAAATAACTAAGCAGAGCATATAAGGTGAGGGAAAAATAGAAATTAAAGTGAGTAGGAGAGGAAATCTTTAAGTTTTAGCAACTGAACCACAATCCCATAATGCTCAATTAGAAATGGAGCTAAGTAAACCTTCAGCCTATCAATTCCTGATTTAGCAACACTGAAAAATTTATTGATGGTTCTTCTTAGCTTTGGTTGTCCCTTCCCTGCCTTAGAAATTCTATTAATGGAAATTGCACATAATTTTTCTTGACTTTGTTTCCATGGATTTATTCCTATGTCAGCAGGTAAGAATGGCAAGTTCTATTGAATCAAATATAGCATTAAAAATATATTCTTTGTTCCATAGAGTCTAGCAGAATTAGGGGATTGTTGATTTGAAAATTCAATGCTTAAGTAACTTCTCATGGGTGAATTGATGACAGTCATGATAGTGTCAGTCTTTCCACTGCTTTTTGGTTAAATCTGAGGAAGGCAAATATGTCTGAGGATAAAATTTTCTGGGGAAATATGAAAAATGGCAAATGACTCCTCTCTGTCATTTTTATGATAGTACTAGGAACCACAATGAACTGAGTAATAGTTGGAGGAAGGTAGTATTTTCAAGCAACTTTGGCAAAGCTTACGTTTAGTTCAGCGTCACCACAGTTTCTCCATTCCAGAACACTACAAATACAGAATAAATTTTTGGTTTTGTCAAACAACAGTGATCCTCCTTCCTGCACTCTAGGCCTAATCTCTTCAAAGCTTAAGCTCTTGCTGGGCAAGATCACTTTAATGAGAGCAGAATGAGACAGGCACAGAACAGGAGGGGCCTAGGACCTGACCTAAATGCAGAAATGTGAAGTTCTGGAAGGAAGAGAAATTGGGGAGAAAGAACATGACACATGAGTGAGAAGAGCAATGCATGCTAATATTGGAAATTTAAATACAAATTAAAGTTTAAATGTATTTATACCATGATTTCTAAAAGAGAAATAAATAATTACCGTTTACTGAATATTGAGTTACATGTGCACTTTACCCATATGGACTTATGCAATCACCACTTATGAGACGGAAAGTTATTTTTGCCCTCATTTCCCCTCAAAGACACTGAGTCAAAGAAAGGAAACTGAGTCACCAAAGGAAATGGTAGAGCTATAAGCAGAAGGAATCTGTAGACCTGTTTTATTAAGCAAGAGATCTCAGGAGGTCAGGCGGGCTCTACAAAAGTAAGTGGGTTTACACATTATGGAAAGCTGTGTGGAGATTCCTCAACCTACTAGAGATACAGTTTCCATCAAGATTCCAGCAATTCCACTCCTAGGTATTTACCCAAAGGACACAGAAACATTAATTCCAAAGAGCACCTGCACCCCTATGTTTATAGCAGCACTATTTACAATAGCTAAGCTTTGGAAACAGCCCAAATGCCCCAAAATAGATGACTGAATCAAGAAGATTTGGTCCATATGCATGATGGAATATTACTCAGCAATCAAAAAAGATAAACACATGCAGTTTGCAGCAACATGGATGGTGCTGGAAAGGATCATGCTCAGCAAAATAAGCCAGAAAGAAAAAGAAAAATACCGGATGGTCTCACTCATAGCAGGAATCTAGAAAACGTAAATAAGGGACCAGGAAAAAGAATAACTATAAGAAAGAAAAAATCAAAATCAACAAACAACTATGAACCAGAGACATACTATGGGGGGGGGCGGGGAAAGGAGGGATTGGGGTTAAAATAAGGAGGGTACAATTGTATGGGGAATATAAAACTTAAAAAAATAAAAAAAGTAAGTGGGTTTACAAATCTACTCAGGTAGGTGGCAGATGTTGATAAATGATTCAGCAGACAGCAGGCCCATAATGCCTGGTGGTATTTAGGAACATAAGTCTAATGTCAGAAAAGGAATTCTTAGTCTTACAGATCTTGGGGGAATTGGAAAGGTTATTAAATATACATGGAAAAAAAGAGGCACAGAAAGCTCACAGATCTATTCCCCTGAATGTGATGACAAGGTAGAGACTGAGAATTAACTGGAAGCAAGAGTGACTTGAGTGGTATAACACATTAGACTCATAGTGATCGTGATAGAGTTTTCACAGCTAAAGAAGGATAATACTGTCCACCTAAAACTTGCACAGTGTTTTAAACCAGTGTTACCTTAATACATTTTTAAGTCACTTGAGACTAGGTTTGGCAATGTTAGAGTGTTATTTCTTAATTTTACCTGCCTATGGTAAAAATTGATCCAGAGATGTTGGGCGAGAGGGTCTGTTTAAACCTGTAGATGGTGGTCAACAGCTCAGTGTCCAGGGTGAGCTTGGCCATGCTGATGTCATCATTTCAGGATGAGCAAGGTCAAAATCTCAGCCAGGATTAGTGCAAAGCCCAAACTAGATGCCAGGCTGCTTTGAGGTTCATTATCTCATTTTCTGCATCGGACAATCAGGTCTCACTGGAATGGCCCAGACTTGATTGTGAATCAGAGATAAAATGACTCAGGATACTCTATTTGACATTGATGACTGATTCAAACAACACACCCACACGTGGGAGCTTTTATTCTTCAGGTCTTCATTTGATTTGAAGGCACCTGTTATTTTGGGACTCTTCTGGATTGCCCAGATTTCATGGGCCTTCCAGATTGATTTGTCATATCTTCATCTCTACCATTTAAGCCTTTTCCTTTTTAGAGCTTAGTTCATTATCGTCTTCTTTGGGCTTTAGCACTTGATAAAACATAAACATTGAAACTTTGAAACTTTTGCTGTAAAACACAATATGTCTACAATCTTCCACAATCTATACAGAGTTGGAAAAGTAGATCATAACTTTTTGCATGTCTTCTTGCATTTGTGTTTGAGGGAGAAGAATTGTCAGTAATAGCATATCAGAATGAGGTCTAGAAAACATTTGATGCCATAAAATGTGGCTCTACTTATCTGGACATTGCAGATTCAGTGGTGAGGCAAATAAGATTTTCTCATCCCTAACTAATGCCATAGCATAAGATCATAAAAGTAGTTTGTGCTTAAGCCAGTTCAGTACCAAACACATCACCGAAAAAGATAATACTGCCTTTCAGCAGCGTTGTGATGAATAGTATTTTGAACAGTAAAATGATAGTAAAATTCCATTATTATTACAACTACTACTGTTTATTGGAAAATTGCTGTGGTTTTTAGAGGTTTAAAGAGAGAAGTGTATGTTATTTACATTGAAGTTGCTTTTCTGACAGTAAAGGTTGGTGTATGGACATTTCTATGAATTATCTGAAGAGTCCATGAAACTTTTTTTTTTTTTGTTTTGCACAATATCATTGTTCAAATAGTTGCTTATGAATATGATATTGCAGAGGTCCTTTCTATCCTCCTGGTGTTTTGCAATGGATGAGCGAGAACTGACACCAGTCACATCTGTAATAAAGTCTCCTTATTGGTCTTTGGAACTTACCTCTTATCTTTTCAAAATCCTGTGTGGGAAAAAAAAAATAGGGTGTTTGAGGACTATCCCTTCACCTAGAAAACAAATACAAGGAAACTGATAAAGAAGGATAGGTCAGGTGAAGAAAAAACATAGGAAAGCTTTCCGGTGGAATAGCTGACACAGTGTGAAGACAAGTTCGTGCTATATTCAAGAGCATGGGATTTGGAACCAGACAGGAAGGCATCAATTCTATTTCTTGCTCCACCCCTTACCATATGCCTCTGAGCAAGTTACACAACTTCTTTAAGCCCAAATCACCACATACTCAAAATGGAAATAATAACACCTGACTATTGATAGAGTTGTGAGAGGATTAAAATGAGAACATATCTCTAAAGCACTTAGTGTACTACCTAGGATATGGTAAACACTTATTAAATGGTACCTACTTTATTGTTACACTTATTTAAGAAAGATTCTTTATCTGTAGGATTATAAATCAGTTCTGATATGTCCTGGGAGAGTACATTTATAGGGATAGTTTTAAGGTTGGACACCACAGAGAACTGGAAGAGGTAGATTCAGGTTTATTGCTTTGTACTTTACAAAGCCCTTAAAAGATTATCCATAAGTGATACATATTATTAAGAGCACAGTATAAAATGTTGTAGGCATAAGTTATGTCGTCTCGTAGTCTGGTGTCTGAACCTAGTTCCGTAACATTCCAGAATCTTCATATGTAAAATGGATAAATACTAGTAACTCATAAGTTAATTGAAAGGATTACATGAGATTACCTTTGGAAAGAGTTTAGCAAAGTGCCTGGGATAAGGCTGTGTAACTGTTATAATTAGTGACTGACATGACTTCATTCTTGGAAGCAGCTATCTTAGAGAAGTTTGCAAAAAAAAATATA